CCATGGTAGTTGAATCGAGATACAAATAATGTATCGGAAGGCTTATTTTTTGAATCGTGAATCGAATCGTATCGTGAATCGTAAGATTCATGATCAATAAAAACATAGTGTATATATATGCATACAAGACATATAAAAATGAAGTCATACATAAATATATAGTAATTAGTAACATATAAACTTCAATACAAACAAAGATACAATTATACAAATAAAAACAGTCTCAAAGCCAAAAGAAATGACTGCACAGTTCAACAACAAAGCCTCCAAAAAAAATCATTGTTGTTGCTAAATATATGCATATACCAAGGACTGATTGCTATTCTAATTCAGCAATATAGCTACCCAAAAAAAATATTAGTGTTGTTGCAGCATAAACTCAGCAACAAGTGGTGCTACTGCCACACAAATTCTGCCACACAAATTCAGTCATATGGCCTCAAAAAATCTATACAAAATGCCCCTATCCAAGATCATTCATCATCCCCAACCCCAAGATCTACATCACTCAAGTCATCTTCATCTTCTAATATCAAAAGTTCTTCTTCTTCATTATCTTCAATTTCATCCTCATCTTCTATTATTGATTTTCCCTTACCAATCTTGGCATTCAAGTTTCTTGGACCTATGTAATCAAAAGAAATAAGAAAATAATAAGGTCTAGTTCTAATTCCAACTTCCAAGTTCTAAACTAACTTTTAAATATAAATAATTACCTCTCTTTCTTTTCTTCTTTGGAGCTCCCTCATCAACACCAAAGCACTCATGTACATCCATCCATGAGGCATCAATAGGCAAGCAAGGATTCTCCTTTTCGGTGATCCATTCATCATCGGATTCAATATCTGACAAACATATGGGATCATAGGTATCTCCATTCTCTTCTCTACTATTTTGCCTCATCTCAAGTTGAAGATTATATTTGACATATACAAGTGCATTTAATCTTTGTTGCTCCAATCGATTTCTTCTCTTAGTATGCACTTGGTCAAATGTACTCCAATTTCTCTCACATCCCGTGGCACTACATGTAAGACTCAAAATTCTCATGGCCACCTTTTGTAACTCTTTACCTCTTCCACCGTAACTCTCCCACCAAAGAGCTACAAAAAAAAATGTATTTATTTTACAAATGTAGTTATTAATTATTATGTATTATGTTTATGATATTAATAAAGAGTAAAAATTAAAGGGATACCCGGTTGTTTCTTATCTCTAGTAGCTATTGCCATGTCCATTCCAAAGATCTCCTTAGCTCCCTTAAACTTTTCAAGTTGTTGATCTATTATAACTCTTGTCCTTATATCCGGAACCATTCTTTGAAAGGTTTCATATAAACCAATTAACACTTCACTATCCGGATTGAAGTTCTTGTCATAATGATACCTAACCAAATAAGAAATAACTTAGCTACTAGGCACAAAGAAAATAGTAGTTCTTAAAATGATAATTATTTTTAAATAATTTACCTAGGATTGAGATAATAGGCAGCTGCATGAAGAGGCCTATGAAGCTGCAGATTCCACCTAGTGTCAATAATCTTCCACACTTTTTTATACCTTGACTCTTGCATTTGAAAGTTTTGAGCAATTTTCTCTTTAGCCCTATCCATTGCTTCATAAATGTATGGTGAGGCTGGCTTTGAATCACCATCTACAAGCCTTAACACTTTCACAAGTGGAATCACGCACTTTAGACAATATGTAATTGATCTCCAAAATCTATCATCACTCAACACTAGGTTCATGACTTGCTTAGCCTCACTTTTACTAGCATGTGGACTAGTAGCCCATTCCTCCGATGCAAACATTGATCTAAGAGCATTCTTTTGTTGTTTAATGCAATTTAGTGTAAGATAAGAAGTTGCAAATCTTGTCACAGCTGGTCTTGCTAATTCCCCTCCATTGGAATATTGTCTATACAAATTAAGGACCCATGTATGCCTATATATGTAGGTAGTAATCTTCTTAGTAGCCCATTCCTCCGATGCAAACATTGATCTAAGAGCATTCTTTTGTTGTTTAATGCAATTTAGTGTAAGATAAGAAGTTGCAAATCTTGTCACAGCTGGTCTTGCTAATTCCCCTCCATTGGAATATTGTCTATACAAATTAAGGACCCATGTATGCCTATATATGTAGGTAGTAATCTTCTTTGCATTAGCAATGGTATTATAGAATACCGGAAGCTCTCCAATGTCCAGAGAAGTTGGACCACGCAAATGGACCACAAAAAGTGAAACCCACTAAGTGGGTCATGTACAGGGAGTCTAAGCGGGAGTTTCTGTCTCATTTCGTTTTTTTTTTTTTTAAAAAATCATTTTTTTAGGGTTTTTAGAACCGGGTCGTGCGTGACCCGACCCGGTTTCGGGGGTGACCCAAAATGTTCAGAATCGTGCGATTTCTCCTATGAATCGCGATTTTCCGATTCCGAACACGATTCAAGCGATTCGCATACGATTCGTAATCAAAAACGATTCTACATGCGATTCGAATCGCGGAGGCTCTGTATCGTATCGTATCGTACGATACGTATCGCGAATCGTGCGATACTTACTACCATGGTTTCAGCCAACACATCTGTATGTAAACCTGAGTTTATATCATACCAGGGCATTTTGCGTTAGAAACAATTTAGTCCATATAAACATTTTAACATGATGCTCGCCCCTCCATCTGTCCCATATTTGTTTATCAGAAACTTGCCAAGAAGCATCTATCTAACTTTTCCTATATAAGTTATTCATCAGGTGGTTCATGAAGAGTTTGGAATAGTTGAAGGTTTGATGACAACTGTACATGCAACAACAGGTCTCTTTAGCAAACTTGTTAATTGTAGCCTCTAGTTTCTTTTATTCTTGTGGTCAAACCGTCCCTTTATATGTTCACATGTGGCATTGGTAACATTTGATTCTTTCTTTTCTCAGCAACACAAAAGACCGTAGATGGCCCTTCTATGAAGGATTGGCGAGGGGGAAGAGGGGCAGGGCAAAATATAATTCCAAGTTCAACTGGTGCTGCAAAGGTAAGAGATGCATGGACACAGATTTTATGCTTACTATTTTCAGTATATATATGAAATTGGGTTCGTTTTATGAAGGCTGTTGGGAAAGTTCTTCCTGAGCTAAATGGTAAACTCACTGGAATGGCTTTCCGTGTACCGACTCCCAATGTTTCTGTAGTGGACTTGACTTGCCGGCTTAAGAAGAATGCTTCCTATGAAGATGTTAAAGCAGCAATAAAGTATGTCTATTGGTTTTTTCCTCAGACTTTTTTACTCTGTTGGGATTGTTCTGTATTAACCTTTTGGATGATTTCGTTGCCTTTGCCGATGAAAAATATGAAGGTTTGCCTCAGAGGGCCCACTGAACTAAGGTGGGAAACTCTCAGTAGTAGCAAATCAAGCACCTTTCCAAAACCATCCCTCAAGTTCTTTATACCAGCCTCCTTAATAGAGACCTCCTCCTACATTTGTACTTGCACCTGCACCTGCACCATCTCAACCTTATACTTCTTTTGAGCCTTTATTGAAGGAGCTGGTGAGGTAGATGACCATCCAAAACATGTAGTTTCAACAAGAGACCAGAGCCTCTATTCAAAGTTTGAAAAATCAGATGGGTCAAATGGCTACTCAACTCAATCAGACACAATCCCAAAATTCAGACAAGTTACCTTCACAAACTGTGTAGAATCCGAGGAACATGAGTGCCATCACCTTGAGGTCTGGAAAACAAATTGACATACAAGTACCTACAGCTGCACCTACACCTGAGCCTACACTTGAGAAAGAGGCCCCTACAGGTAGTAGTCGAAAATCTCATACCGGTGGACCTTCTTCTAGTGCACACAATGGTGATCTACAGTAGCCTCTTATCCCTCTTCCATTTCCACCAAAATTAATTCCAAGAAAAAATATGGAAGAGGTGGATAAAGAGATATTGGAGACCTTCAGGAAGGTGGAGGTGAACATACCTTTGCTGGATGCCATCAAGCAAATTCCCAGATATGTTAAGTTCCTAAAGGAGTTGTGCACCCATAAGAGGAATCTGAAGGGCAATGAGCGAATTAGCATGGGTAGAAATGTCTCAATGGTTATAGGCAAATCTGTTCCACACATTCTTGAAAAATGTAAGGACCCAGGTACATTTTGCATACCTTGCATTATTGGTAACAGTAAATTTGAAAATACCATGCTTGATTTAGGAGCTTCAATTAATGTCATGCCTCTGTCTATCTTTAATTCTCTCTTTGTTGGACCTCTGCAACCTATGGGTGTGGTCATTCAGTTGGCTAATAAGAGTGTTGCCCACCCCACAGGTTTTGTAGAGGATGTCTTGGTTCGGGTTGGTGAACTTATTTTTCCCGCTGATTTCTATGTTCTTGATATGGAGGAAGGATTCTCCCATGGTTTTGTCCTAATCATTCTAGGCAGACCATTTTTGAAAATAGCCTGGACCAAGATTGATGTTTATGTTGGCACCTTATCTATGGAATTTGGTTATATTGTTGTTTATTTTAATATTTTGGATGCCATGAAATTTCCTTTTGAAGCTCATTCTATTTTTCGCGCTGAATTGATTAATGATCTAGTTGATGAGCACATTCATGATTCTGATTCTTCTAATGCTAAGAAAAATTCATTTTTATTTGATCTGTATAGCTTTCGTTCATGCATTGAGTTTGAGTTTGAGTCTGAATTTGGATATGAGTTTGGATGTGAATTTGATTGTGATGAGGCATCTAAATTTGATACTTTGGGTGTTGTGCCTCTTGGTCTTGATTTTATAGAGTCAAAATGCACTAACCATGTTGCAGGAATTACAAAAGAATCTGACTTGCAGGTTGAGGTACAGGCTATGGAACCCCTTCTCTCCTCTTTGGTTCTTTTTGATGTTCAACCAACACCCACACCAGAGTTAAAGCCTCTTCCAGAGAACCTCAAGTATGCTTACTTGGAGGACGATGAGAGATTAATCTCTTGTGATCATTTCTACATGCCTTGATGCTGATCAAGAGGATAGGTTGTTGCATGTGCTCCAGAAGCACAAGAAGACAATTGGTTGGACCCTAGCAGATATTCCTGGCATTAGCCCATCCACGTGCATGCACAGGATACTATTAGAGGATGGAGCTAAACCAGTGAGATAGCCACAGAGGAAACTTAACCTAATGATTCTAGATGTCGTAAAGAAGGAGGTGACCAAGCTTTTATAGGCTGGGATCATCTATCCCATTTTTGATAGTCAGTGGGTGAGTCTAGTCCAAGTGGTCCCCAAGAAGACAGGCCTCACTATTGTTAAGAATGAGAGGGATGAGCTCATACCCACCAGAGTGGAAAATAGTTGGAGGGTCTGTATTGACTACTGGAGGATCAACCAAGTGACAAGGAAGAATCATTTTCCTCTACCCTTCATTGATCAGATGCTTGAGTGTCTGGCAGGTAAATCTCATTACTATTTTCTTGATGGTTTCTCTAGTTATTTTTAGATTCACATTGCTCTAGAGGATCAAGAAAAGACCACATTCACGTGCCCCTTTGGCACTTTTGCCTATAGGAGGATGCCTTTTGGCCTATGCAATGCCTAGCACATTCTAGCGGTATATGCTCAGTATTTTTAGCAATTTTCTTGAAAATTGCATAGAGGTGTTTATGGACGATTTTACTATTTATGGATCCTATTTTGACACTTGTTTTGATAGTTTGGAAAGAGTTCTGAATAGATGCATTGAAACTAACCTTGTTCTTAATTTTGAGAAATGTCATTTCATGGTAGAGCAGGGTATAGTTTTAGGGCACATCATTTCTAGTCGGGGCATTGAGGTAGACCCTGCAAAAATATCTGTTATTGCACAATTGCCTTAGCCCTCTTACGTGAAGAGGTGCGATCTTTTCTTGGACATGCAGGTTTCTATAGGCACTTCATTAAGGACTTCAACAAGAAAGCCCTTCCAGTATCCATCTTGCTTTAGAAGGATATTGACTTTAATTTTGATGACAGGTGTACGGAGGCGTTTGATTGCCCCAAGAGAGCCATGACCACCACTCCTATCATTTAGGCACCAGACTGGACAATTCCCTTTGAGCTGATGTGGGATGCTTCAAATTATGCACTGGGGGCTATCTTAGCATAGAGTTTTGATAAATTGCCTAGGGTGATATTTTATGCTTCCAGGACATTAGATGCTGCTAAAGCAAATTACACGACCTTCGTTCACACACATTCAACCCTTTCTGTTGTGTGTTTTCATTAAACTTCAGTTGGTATCAGAGCTTGACCCCTAGGGTTGAGCATCTAACACTACAGGGGAACGGTCATGGAAAATGAAGGACAGACAGTAAATCATCCACCTCTCTTTAAAAGAACCAACTACGACTACTGGAGATAAACAATGATCGCATTCTTTGACGCTTGTCATATAGACATGTGGTAGGTAGTAGAATAAGGAGACTACATTCCACATGATGATGTTGGCAATGAGATACCCAAGGAACATTGGAATGAAAATCAAAAACAAAGATTTATGTTAAACTCTAAAGCCAGAAATGCACTCATGTGTGCTCTAACCGAAGAAGAATACACCAAAGTACATAGCTTCAGGAGCGCCAAACAAATGTGGGATACACTAGCCATAACCTATGAGGGATCTCTGGAGGTAAAACGCAACAAGTTAAGCTTGTCGGTCCGTAAGTATGAACTCTTCGAAATGGAAGAAAACGAATCTATCCAAACTATGTTTGGAAGATTTCAAACTATTGTTAATGAACTCTCTTTTCTACGTAGGACTTATGATAATTTTGATCATATTAACAAATTACTTCGTAGTCTACCCAGGAAATGGAGACCTCAAGTCACGGCCTTGAGAGCATCCAAGGATCTTGAAAAGCTCTCACTGGAAGAACTGGTTGGACTTCTCAAAGTCCATGAGATGGAGCTACAACAAGATGAAGCAGGACGAAAATAGAAGTCCATTGCACAGTGTGCAAAAGATAAAACCTACTTCATCATTGTCAAAAGCATTAAAAGCAGAAGAAGCATCTGACGAAAGCTGTGACGAGGAAATGTGTGACTCAAATGATGAGATATCCCTCCTGTGTAAAAAAACATACACCATGATGAAGAAAAAGGGAGGATCGCACTGGAGAAAGTACAACAGAACCCCAAGAGAAAAGGAACTGCCACTGTGCTATGAATGCAAGAAACCTAGACACTACAAAAAAGAATGTCCAAAGTTAGAAAAAGAAAGAGAGAAAGAAAAGAAGAAGTCAACTCCCCACAAGAAGAAAGCCATGATGGCCACTTGGGAAGATCTGGACACGACATCATCTAAAGAGGATGAACAAGAAAACATATGTCTAATGGCAGACACAGACTCATCTTCTGAATTTGATGATGAAAAGGTTAGTAAGTCTGATTTCAAAGATCTTCAGCATGCATACAATCAGCTTTTAACTAATTCTACTAAAATCTCTACTGCATATAAAGAACAAAAGAAAAGAATTTATGATCTAGTTGAAGAAAATCCTTTGGTCAATAATGAAAATGCTAAAATATTAAAGGAATTAGAGAAAAGACATGAAGAAATTGAAATACTAAAATCTGATTTATCAAAGTTTACTATAGGAACTAAGAACCTTGAAAATCTCTTGAAATATTCCAAAAGTTAAAATGATAAGTCTGTGTTAGGGTATGTTGATTCTGAATCTGAAAACAAAGCAAGTACATCTACATATCTTATATATAATAGGCATTTCACGTCTAAGTGCAGCACATGCACAAGAAGGGGTATTCCAAAACCTCAAAAACTAACATTTATGGACCCATATCCATTTGGGTACCAAAGACTGAAATAATACCTGTTACAGATTTGTTCAACAAGAAAAAGAAGTGTCCAGTCATGGTACCTGGACAATGGCTGCTCGCGACACATGACGGGCGAAAGGTCTACGTTCCTAGACCTGAAGTCCAAGAAAGGAGGCCTAGTCACATTCGGAGGAGGACAGAAAGGACAAATCACGGGAATAGGTAAAATAGGTATAAATTCCTTTATCACCATTGATAACATCCTATACGTTAAAGGATTAACACATAACCTGCTGAGTATAAGTCAATTATGCGATAGCAGTTACGAAGTTTCTTTCAACAAAGATAAATCTATTGTTAGTCAAACTGATTCGTCTATATTATTTACAGCTAACAAATGCAATAACTTATACAAAATAATGCCTAATGAACTAGAAGATCAAAATATTGATTGTCTAGTATCATATGAAAACCAGTGGTTATGGCACAAGAAGCTTGGTAATGCAAGCCTGAGATTAATCTCAAAGCTGAAAAAGCATAACCTCGTAAGAGGTCTACCGAGTCTTGCGTAC